TTTGACTTTATTAATAAGAACTTTTAAGATTCATGCTACACTGGTGGTGAGGACATCTGCCCTCAGTGCTTTCAGCACTGGGTAGAAGTCAGCCATTCCATCCCCAACAGCCTGGCCCCTGCTTCTGAGGCTTTGCATGCCAAATTCTGAGGCTTGGAAATGGTCCTGCAGGCTATGGAGAGCTATGTAAGTCCCATAAGTGTTCAACAGATAGTAGGGATGACTGAGAGTCAGATTCTAAAGGGAGGAAGGAAGTGATGAGACAAGGCAGGAGGCTGGTGCATCGCCAAGTCAGTGGACATAAGGGACAGGTATGTGAGAGAATTCACAGTCCCTGGTGACTAAGCCTTGCCTCATGTCAAACTCTTTGACCATTGGGGCTTTTAGCTCTATACAATGGCTCTGCACTGTGTGATACTGAGAACCAGAGAGGCTTAGTAACTTGTCTGAAATCTCATAGATGTAAAGACGTTAATGAGAAATGAAGGGAGATTTCTGAGCTGGTATTTCTGAATCAGCACCTGGGACAGCTCCCAGAAGGCCCCAGCCAGAGGAGCACCTCTGTAGGAAAGGGAGCCCCAGGAGAACACCTGCATTTCTTCAGCCAAAGCAGCACCAAGAATGGCTGACAACTAATGATGAGCTTGACAGCCTTAGCAACAGAAATATTCAAATGCAATTAAAACCTGCAAATATAATAATCAAATGTAAATGAGCGGCAGCCAACCATTCCTGCTACATGTACAATTAGCACATATGGTAATTTCACAGGAGGTCTAACTTGCTCCATTTCGTTGCCCCTGACAAATTGCTTATTACTACTCCCTCCCTCTTTTTTGCTGCTGACAGTTTCCTGCCAGTGTTGTCCATTCATTCTGTGGGAACAAAGTCTAATTGCCTGGACTTTCTTAGAGTCAGGATGTGTTCAGTCACATTTCAGAGCAGCAGCAGGCTGCATAGCCTACCAGACCAGTGGGGAAGGACAGAGAACACAGTGTTACCTTCTCTCTTGCTCACAAACCATATGGATCATCGTGTGTGTGTGTGTGTGTGTGTGTGTGTGTGTGTGTGTGTGTTCATGAATGTGTACATATTAATATGTTTGTGAGTGCGTGTGTGGAAGTAAGAGGTTGTCTTGGGGTTTCTGTCATTGTGAAGAGACGCCATGACCATGGCAACTCTTATAAAGGAAAACATTTAATTGGGGTGGCTTACATTTTCAGAGGTTTAGCCCATTATCATCGTGGTGATGGTGTGACATGGTGGAGCATAGGCAGACATGGTGCTGGAGAGAGAGCTGAGAGTCCTACATCTTGACCCACAGGCAACAGGAAGTGGTCTGAACTAGGAACAGCTTGAGCATAGGAGACCTCAAAGCTCATTCCCACAATGAACACTTCCTCCAACAAGGCCACATCTACTTAAACAAGGCTACACCTCCTAATAGTTTCACGTCCTATGAACTTACGGGGGGCCAATTACATTCAAACTACCACAGTGATCAACCTTAGGTGTCATTCTGCATGAGACAAATGTTTCTGGAGACAGAGTCTCTTACTGACCTGGAACACACTAATTGCTGGCCAGCAAGCCCCAGGGATCTACATGTCACCATTTCCCTACAGCTGGAGTTGCAAGCACGTGCTACTACACTTGGCACTTTTACATGTGTTCTGGGAATCGAACTTGGGTCCTCACACTTGTGGAATAAGCACTTTAGTGATTGTGCTGTCTCTCCAGCCCTGGATCATCTTTCTCTAGAATAAACACAAGGCAGGAGCCACTGTGTGGCAGGCCTTAGGTGAGTGGGGTTGTGGAATTATCTGATGGGTTGAAGCAGTAACAATGCTTCAGCAATGGCAGAGTCTCCTGAAACAGACGGAGAAAGCAAGAAGCCCCAGCTAAGGACTGGTTCTACAGAAGAACAGATAGAAAATGGAGGAACTGAAAATCACATTAAACAGATCACAGTCCCAGGATGAGCCCAGAGCTGACCACTAATGACAGGGGGCAGATTCTGGGAGCACAAGGACAGGTAAAGAGAAGTCACCCAACCCAAACCACAGGGGAGATGAGCAGAAACACAGGAACACTTGTGTGCCAGACTGGTGGCGGGGGGAACCTGAAGGAGTATGGCTATTTCTCCCCAATTTTGAAGGACACCTAAATATATGACTAAAGGAGCTCAGAGAATTCCACTTGGGATTACCCCTCTGACATCCACTCCCGTCCATGTCTTTATTAGAAACTTAAAGACTGAAGGTGAAGGAAAAAGTCTTGAAATCAGAAATGACGCACTTTCTACACGTGCATTCATTACGTATCTTGTTGTTATGTCAAAACACCTGGCAAAGTAACTTACGGAAGGAAGGGTCTACCTTGGCTCATGGTTTGAAGGTGGCAATCCATCACAGCGGGAAGGACATGGTGGCAGGAGCGTGAGGCAGCTGGTCACATTGTACCTGCAGTTAGAGAGCAGAAAGAGATGTATGCTCCTGCTCGGTTTTCTTCTTCTTATTCAGCCTTGGGTTCTAGCCATGAAGTGATGCTGCTCAGATTCAGGGTGGGTCTTACCTCCTCGGTTAACCTAGTCTGGAACTGTCTCCTAGGTGATTCTAGTCCTGCTGTGTTGACAGCATTAACCGTCACCATAGGGATGCCAGTTAGAATGTTGGTAGATTTTCCACCTGAAAGAAAGGGGATCAAATGAGGAAATGACGTCTCATTGGAAATGCTGAAGAGAACAGTTATCTAAGCAGTCGGTTAGGTGACACTGTTCTTCAGGAATGAAGGGGAGATAAAGATACTGCTGTAGGAAAGCATGAGTTTGTTATTAATAGCCTTCCTATGAAGGAAAAGAGAAAGAGTATAAATGCAGGAGCATACCACAGGCTATCCCTTCTCCCAGAGTCTTGTAAATCACATTTGGTATTGAAACAAATATCATAACCTCACCCAATATTAGAGGCAATGATGTTTAAAGGGGAGATGATAACTGTAGATCCATGAAAAGTTGAGACTTCACCTTTCCTTGGAAGGGGTTCAACCATGACAGCAGTAGACTGTGAAAAGCCACCAGTGTGTGCTCTACTACACAGAGAAGCTACTACACAGGAAAGTGTGGGGAAGAGATAATCTCACACGAGTCATGGATCAAGACAGAACATTTAGACATGTTCAAGTTAAATCAATGAGAATCAAGAATAGAGGCAAGGGTTGGAGAGATGGCTCAGTGGTTAAGAGCACTGGCTGCTCTTCCAGAGGTCCTGAGTTCAATTCCCAGCAACCACATGGTGGCTCACAACTGTCTATAGTGGGATCTGACACCCTCTCCTGGCATAAAGGTGTACATGCAGATAAAGCACTCATACATAAAATAAATAATCTTTAAAAAAAAAAAAAAGAGTAGAGGCAAAGGAGAAGGCTCGCACCCCATCCTTCTGAGACTCCTAGATCTAAGGAGTTCTCTCTGTTCCCCCAGCCTCAGGCAAGACACTGTCTCCTTCCCTCTCAGCACCAGCTCACAGACCTGTATATGATGTTGAGAGTTTGGGCTTCATCATCCATCCATTCCTCTGTCTTAGACTCCGCTGCTGCTTGGCTCTCACTTTCTTTAACTCTGAAGCATGGATGGGTTGTGTAGATCCTTTTGCCTTTTATTTAAAATGTCACGTCCTTGAACTCACAGATTTTCAGCCAAACCATCTCTTTGCCCCAGATGCCCACCCTATTCATCCACTCTATCACCAGCTGTTACATCCTAACCAGAGAATGTCTGCCAAGCCCATATACAGCCAAGGATGAACTACAGTCCTGAGATGAGTAGTCTGCCAAGAAGCAGGTGTCCATAGCACTGGAGAGAACCGGACAGCTGTGCCAAGCTCCAGTACTGCTGTTCAGAGAGTCAAGGTGTCCGCAGGTTGCCCAGCTCAAAGACTGGACTGGTGCTGCCTCAGCTGATATTTAGTCCTTCTAAATGGTCTGAGTGAGGGGTGTTTCCTGAACTGCTAAGAGTATATGCATAAGCTTTAATGCATAAGGCAACAAAATGCTTAGGATGAAGAGTGACATTTCCAAGATGTAAGTTGCTGGTTTCACTATGTTGACTGAAAATTTCTTGTGCTGCCCCAGAGATTTCGGGGTTTTGCACAAATCCTTAGGTTACTAAGGTAGATGGTGGGTTTCTAGCACATTCTTTTCTGCCCCCTTAGCTCTTCACTCCACATACCCTGTTCAATTTGCTCCACGTCCCTAAGACGTTGGACTTGTCAATCTCACCTGTTGTATCCCATCTAGCAGTGTGCTGGCAGGTCCATGTGCTTTTGATCTACTTTTCTCTGATAACTGATGGTTCGGGGCATGTTTCATCCACCTGTTGGGACCTGTATTTTCCTTTGTGAAGTGCTTGTCCAAGTTTTCTGTATGTGTGAATGTGTGAGTGTGATTGTGAGTGTGTGTATGTGGAGTGTGTGTATGTGTGTATGGTAGTGTATGAGTGTGTGTATGACTGTGTGCATGAGTGTTTGTGAGTCTGTGTGTGTGAACATGGTGTGTGTGTAAGTGTATGTGTGTATGTGTTATGTGTGTATGAGTGTGTGTGAATGTATGCATGAATGTGGTGTGTATATGATCGTATATGTGAGAATGTGGTATGTGTATAAGTGTGTGTATATGTATGTGTATAAGTATGTGTTTGTATAAATTTTGAGTTATGGTAGACTTTTATTCATTTCTAATAAGTTATTTTGCTAGGTGTGTATTTCAGGAATATTTTATTTCAGTTTACGGCTTTCATTTTGTCTTATTAATGATGCTTTGTCATCATAAGTGAGGCTCGCAAAAATATTTATTTATTATTAGTATGTGTGAGTGTGGGTGTGGAGGTATACACATGTCATGGTGTACCTGTAGAGGTCAGAAGACCTTTCATTTGTGAGTTGTGAGTCTTGTGTGACATATGCTTTTACCTACAAAGCCCTAGGAGAAAGACTTACCTTGTTCTTTATTTTTCCTGCTTCCAATTGTCCATCTATGAACTTTTATTTACACAAGTCCCCAAAATTGTCTCCTTAGTTTTTGCCACTTTACTGCTGATCAGTCACGTGTTCAAATGACCTTTCCTGCAAAATGTCAGAAAAATGTCTTCTCTTCCAATACATGGGCCCTTTGCTAGAATCCAGGAAAAGGTGTGAAATTCTCACTTCAAAAATACACTCCTGGGAAGTGAGGAGGCTGGGCTACCTGTGTCTCCTGAGACTAGAAGGCCGTCCCTGGGAAAATGCCTATTCCTGTTTCCTCCTACCTACTGTACATAGACTTCTGCAAAATGGTTCTCAGAAAATACTGGTGCCAGTAATGTCAAGAGCCTCAGGGCTGGTGAGAACGGTGTGGTCCCGGGAGGCCCTGAACCTTTGCCTCAAGTTGCGTGAGAGGGACACTGTAATGTTCCTAAATTCCTTGGAGTTACAGCAGGCTGGCTTGAATTTGTTGTACTTGTGCACATGTGCAGCTGAAATTTCTACTATCTGACCCCAACTGGACCATTTCCATTTTCCCCCCTTAAGACTCTTTGGCCATAAAGACTTACCTTTACATAACTGTTGTAGGCTGTAATTTTTCATCTTCTTTATTTTCTACTTAATATGTTCCCTTGTGCTTTTCTTGCACTGCAGTCAAGTGCTGCTTTACTGGTAGCACAAAGCTCCATGCTATGGAAGGAGGGACACACGTTTATTCTATTATGAACTGATAGGACCAGATAGGTTCAATATTTTCTCCTAACCAAAGATGAACATCTTAGCATGCATGTGCAGAAACTCATTTCCTCATATCGATCTGCTTCTTTGAGCTGCTTTTCTAGATGTTTCTTTCCTGCAGGAAAGGGATAAGTGTGTGAGCATTTTCAGTATCTTGATGTACATGAGCTCCCCTAATGAACAAATGCAGTGAATCATGTCAACACTTTTCTAAGTACCTAGCGATAACAGCAGCAGCATCAACAGCATTTGGAAGCAATTTCTTATGTTTGGATTTTGACAAAATAACTTCAGAGCTGGCTCACAGACTCTCCCTGGAGAAATTACGTTTTGAGACTGTGCAGTTGTGGCACATGACTTGCGCATTGGGCATATAATATAGGGTTAAAATACTTGCCTTTCTTCAGAGTCACATGACAGTCTCTAAGGGATGCCTGGGGCTCAGGTTAGGTCTGTCTTCAAAGAAAGTCTTAATTAATGGTCTGGAAGACTTGTGATGGCAGCTGGCTTATTAAATTCACAGATGGGACTCTTGAGAAGTGGTGTGAACTCTGAAAAGAGGTGATGGAATTCCACAAAGAACTGCTGGGATTGCCAAAGAATACTGTGGGGAAGTATGCTGTGGTCAGGGCTCAGCCCGCACATGGGTCGCCCTGCACAGTTCTGTCAGGGGAGCTCCAGATGTGTATCAACACTGGCCACAGTCCCTGCCCACCATCACTGTGATCTTTAGCCCTTGATCTCTTTGGGGTTCAGCTATGATGGCTGGTATGAGCTATAATGGCTCCAGAGTAAAATGAGGAAATATGGATCTGCCTGGCCATCTCTAGATTTACCGTGTGTGTGTGTGTGTGTGTGTGTGTGTGTGTGTGTGTGTGTGTGTTTCATACTCACACATGCACATGCATACATGCATGAGTACAAGTATCCATGCATGTGCATTTAGAAGCCAAAGACAAATATCAACAGTGTCAGATACCTTCTCCCATTGCTTTCTACCTTATTTTACCTCCGAGACAGGGTCTCTCACCAAACCCGCAGCTCACTGATTGGCTAGACTGACTGGCTAGCCAGCTCCAGCAATCTTCCTATTTTCCCCCAGGACCCAGCTCTGGGGCTACAGATGTGTGCTGCCACAGTGGGCTTTTTGTGGGAGCTGGGGATCCGAACTCAAGGCCTTACACTGATGCAGCAAGCACTTTGCTCACTGAGCCATCACTGCAGGCCCTCAGTTCCTTTAAAAAAAAATTAATGGGGTCTGTGGGGGGTCCAGTCCCTCTATAGCCCCCTCCCAGGGTCTGGGGAGAATCTATGACCAGCTGATAATCTGATCTTTGACGATATTAAATGAATCTAAGTACACGGAACCCTTTAGTTTATATGCTTTATTTTTCAGTTCTCTCTCTTCGTGGCTTCAGTTCTGTTCTCACACTCAGCTCCTTTCTGTCCCTTCTCTTCCTGTCCTCTCATAGCCCTAACTAAGTTCTTTTGCTCTCAACCTCATCTTTGTTCTCTGATCCTCTGTCCATTTTGTCCCTTCCTCGCCTAACCTGATTCCCTCCACCTACAATCTCAGAAAACTATGTTTTGCTGCTTTCTCCTCTGGCCAAGCAGCTCTGCTCTCAATCTTGCCTCAAATGCTTCACTGCATCTGGTATGCAAAAAAAAAAAAACCCTTTTTGTTCTGAGTCAAATGCTCTGGAATGCCACTTGGCCTGTGAGAGGAAGGAGGCTCTGAGCTTCATTTGCACAAGAAACAAAGCTATGCACCTAGTGTCAGGCTGTGTCTCCAGAAGGGTGACCATTTGTCATTATGACCTAGGATGCTTGAGAAGTATTTCAGATAAATACACTGTTAGGAGTTCTTGGAAGCATAGCATACAAGAAAATCATTGCAGGAGCCAGCTAACATATATACAAAGGCTAACATATCACCAAGACTCCTTAAGTCAAGGCTTGGCCTCTGGAAAAGTCCTTGACCTTCCAGGTAGTAGCTTTTGTCATAGTAGCTGAATTCCATTACACTATCCTGTGGCTTGCAGCAAAAAATATTGTGTTATATACTTTCGTTTGTGTTCATATGTCTGTGCCCACGTATGTGAGGTGCATGTTTGTGTGTGTACACATACAAGAGGAGGGTAAAGGTTGATGTCAGGTGTCTCCCTCTATCACTCTCCACCTTTTTATTTTGAAGTAGAGTCTCTCATTGATCCCAGAACTCACCAATTTAGCAAATTAGATGGCCAGTGAGCTCCAGGGAGCCTGGCATCCCCCCCTCTCCAGTGCTAGGATTACAGGTGCATGCCACCATGCCAGGCTTTTCACCTGGGTACTGGGGCCCCAAACTTGGGTCCTCACTGATCCATCTCCTCAGCCTCTGTTAACTCCTCCCCGACCTCCAGCCTGTTTCGAGTGAACATTGACTGCACACTACTAGAAATCGTTTCCCCATAATTAAACAGGCCAAACAAAAGCCATACAAAAAGGGTTCTAAACCTGCAAAGTCTTTAGAGACTGTGGCACAAGAAGAGACCCAGGAGGTGTATTTCTGGACCAGGACTCTGGGACGCATAGAATGCTCCAAAAGAAGACTTTCTGGAAAGGGGCAAGCCATGTTTTCAATCTCTAAGTGAGCTAATGGGTGGCTAGCACAGTAGAAGGGCTTGATGTTCATCATGGCCGAGCTCATACAGGTACAACACAGTTCTCCTAATTTCAATTCTGTTCTTGTATTCTTGAAACTGAGCCAAAGGAGACATTTTATTGCAGTATGTTGTCTTTATCCCCACACTGCCCTTTCCCCTGCATGTCTCAGCCAAGCACCAAATTCCCCCCTGCTGAGGATTATGGATGTCTAAGCCTCATGCTGGGGTGAGGAAGGACTCCTGAGTCACCACATAGTCAATTACAGCTCCCAGGGGGAGCGTGGGAAGATGAGCACCAAGCTCATCTGTGGGTCACAGGAAAGGGTCCATAGCTGAAACCACTTGTCCAAGGTCATGTGAAGAAGAGGCCACATGGCTGAAACTACAATCAGGTTCATGCATCTATTCTGCAAGGCTCTGGCTGGCTCATCCGGTCTCCCAGCCACAGTGGAGAGAGAGCGACTGCCCAGCTGTGAGGGAGACTAGAAGCTGGTGCCACTTAGTACTGTGAGTGGTATCCCACACTAGACGATGCTCTTTGAACCTCATTTTTTTCTGGCTGTCGGTGCTGCTGCAGGACCAATGCAGTTCAGACACACAGGGAAAGCAATTGTCCAGTGTTATCTGAGGGTGTGAGTTGGTTCAGCCTCTCCCGACTACCTTGCTTTTCCATGACCACAGAGTGAAGACATTCTGTTCCAGTCCAGTAGCAGCTCGTCATACTTCATAGTAGACAGCTGCTCTCCAGGTGTGATCTCAGGCATCAATAACATCTGTCTTATTTAAATCTGTTACCAATGAGCAGGGATGCAACAGCCTTCAAACCATGGCTTATACCTGAGTGCTAAGGCAGCTTGGGGGGACAGATGTAATGAAACCTCAGCAGAGGTGCACCCTCTCCCAGGATCCTTCAGCCCCCAAAAGGTCTTGACTCCTGTCCACTCACGGGTCTGGGCTTTGGAGACTCTTTGGCTGCCAGCATCGAGCCCTACCTAATTCTGCAGCACTAGGTGTATCTTGACTGCTCTGGAAACTTGGCAAAATGGATAACGGAAGGAGTGGGACTGCATAGAGGAAGTCCAGAAAGGGTCTCTGTGAGCGGAATCACCTTTTCTTTCCGGTGGTTCACACTGGGTTTGGCTCTACTTGGGTCCCTGGTGAGATGAAGGCAGGGCCCAAATCCCAAGAGTCTAGGAAAGGTATGGAGCCTTTAAAACAGGACTGGATTTTGCAGGCTAACCCCCACACATCCCAAATCTGCAGGTGACCTGGTACACCCTGCTGCCACTGTGGCTCCAAAGCACCTCCTCACCGAACAAAAGTGGGAGCATGTCAGCCTCATCCTAATTGCTGACGTCCTAACATATCAGCATCATTTGATCAACTTCGAATCCTCTTTTAAAAACTAGACAGCCATCTCTTGGATGACCCGAGTTTGGATTCCAGAGCCCACATTAGGAGGCTCACTATTGTCTGTGATTTCCTCTCCAGGGGACCAGATGCTTTTGACCTCTGTGAGCACCCACACAGACACAAACAGAGATGCTTGAACTCACACAACTACATAATTAAAAATAAAGTAAATCGCCGGGTGGTGGTGGCGCATGTCTTTAATCCCAGCACTCGGGAGGCAGAGCCAGGCAGATCTCTGTGAGTTCTAGGCCAGCCTGGGCTACCAAGTGAGTTCCAAGAGAGGTTCCAAAACTACAGAGAAACCCTGTCTCAAAAAATCAAACAATAAAAATAAAAAAGAAAATTTTTATAAAAGGAAATAAAAACTATGCAGACTTGTTAAGGATACACACACTTCCTCTGAGAGTTCAGCTGGGGGCCTCCACCAGACCTCCGTCTTATCACGCCAGCTTCCATTCCAGACTCTTCCCTGGGATGCAACTTGACAACCAGGTTTGATGTTCCCAGTGTCTCCTGTCAGGTCTGAGGAAATGCAGATGAAAGGCTTGCAATGCTTTGAGCAGCAGCTTATTTAGAGAGAGAGAGAGAGGAAAAAAAAAACGACTAAAACACAGGCAGACACTTTCTTGTGTTTTGATGGAACTATAATTGTCTTTTTTTTTTCTCACTGAAGTATTACAAATTCCCAAATGTTCTAGCATCTTCTTGGCTGTTTTTCCTAACAGTGTCATTTGTTACTACTATTCCAGTCTTGTTCCTGGAAAGGGAAATACCTCCAGACTCATGAAGCGTACACCAAGCTGCAGTTGCACATGGGGACTCTGGTCTGCTCTTAGTGCTGTCCAAACACCCAGCCTCATCTCGTCCCCCAGCACCAACCTGCCTTCAGTGAGCCCCAAAACACTGGGGTTTTCCATTTTCCCACTAAACAGACTGGATTAGAGGCTGCTCCATGAGTAAACGCTGAAGGCCACTTAACCACCTGTCGGTGTGTTAGAAGTGGGTCTGGGAACCAAGGAAAATGACCACACAATCCGGAGGATTTCAGCCAGGCAAAGTTTTACTTCTGCTGACAGGCACACACCATGGAGTCTTGTTGGGTTATTCCTAACACAAAAGTGCCCTTTGCCTCAGTCTGTACGGTCAGAGGCTGGCCTCACATTCCTTTTCTCTTTTATTATATATGGATTTTTCTTCCTTTGTGTCTGTGTACCACATTTGTGCCTGGTGCCCCTGGAGGCTAGAAGAGGGCATCTAGTTCTCTAGAACTAAACAGATGGTAATGAGCTGCCGTGTGGGTGCTGGGAATTGAACCCAGGTCCTCTAGAAGAGTAGCCAGTGCTCTTACTACTTAGCCATCTCTCCAGACCCTGGCCTCATTCTTACCCAGTTGACTAATTCAGTTGGCAAATCAGAAGAGGGCTGATAAGCAAAGGCCTACTTGTAGCTAGAGTTTTCCTGCCTTGCCCACAGTCAGGACAAATCTTTGTCACCCGCCAGTCCCACAGCCGCTCAGACCCAACCAAGTAAACACAGAGACTTATATTGCTTACAAACTGTATGGCCATGGCAGGCTTCTTGCTAACTGTTCTTATAGCTTAAATTAACCCATTTCCATAAATCTATACCTTGCCACATGGCTTACTGGCATCTTCACATGCTGCTTGTCAGGGTGGCGGCTGGCAGTGACTCCTTCTGCCTTCCTGTTCTTTCTTTTCTCCTCTCTGTTAGTCCCGCCAATACTTCCTGCCTAGCCACGGGCCAATCAGTGTTTTATTTATTGACCAATCAGAGCACTTTGACATACAGACCATCCCACAGTAGCTACTCTTGAGCAGGATGAATCCGTGAGCACATATGTACTCTGATCTCAAGAAATACTGACACTGGAGGGATTTGAATTACTGCCAAGAAGCCCCTTCCATTATTTAAAACGAAGCTTTGTTATATTTAACCCTTTGATAGAAAAGCCAGTCCATTTCCCACACCCACAGAACAGGTTCAGCAGAGGCTGGAGAGCACAGGAATTTTGTCTGCTGCACTTCGTTCTCCCCAGCTCTATGTTCTGTGAATGAACACAGGACATTTACAAACCCACACCTACTTGGTTTTGTGGTTTCTCTTGCTCGACTTGTTGGTTTTAAAGACAAGGAAAGTTTAACTTTGTGTCTTAGGAAGACGTGTAAGAAAGCTTGAACTCAATGCCACCTGGAGCTGCACCCACACCCTGATTTCACGTGGCTCACCCATCATGTGTGCAATTGTGTGGCTTCTTTTCATCTTCAACGAGAAAAAGGCATGGACCCACAAGAGAGCAGATCATCTCCAGATCAATAAAAGCTTATGCAGGACCCCACTCTTAAATTTCCTCTGCGGTGCCTGAGCCACAGAGTTAGACCATAGCAGCTGTGACGGGCTTTAGTGGATTCTCTTAAGTTAGATGGGTGAACTTCAGGGGTCTAGCTTTCTGGGTGTGGATGCTCTAGGACTCACTCTCTCCGCTATAATAAGTAGCCATTCTGTTCTCCTACTGCCCCACCTGAGGTGAAATTAACAGGATGTGTTCGCACAAAAGAATTCAAAGAATTGGTATAAAGAGTTGCATCTCAAAGTAGATCCTCAGGATGGCATTTGTGCATGGTCTGCCAAGTGTTTGGATTGCCAAGTCATTTAAGAGCCTTCAGACTGTTACTTTTGCCTTCTTGTTTAAAATGATTAACATATTTGGGGGGGTTAAAGATTTATTTTTTGAAGTGTGTATGTATGTTTTAATCAAACTATATTAGCCACTACAACAGATACAGAGCATGTTAAACTCTAGAAAACATCCAAACTCTCATTTGAAAGGTTAAAAAAAAGCTATATATCACGTATTTACAAATGCCACAAGGAAGGAGGACAATTCCAGACTGAACATAGTGGGCTGTGGCTGGAGCAGGAAATAAATGTGACACAAACCAGCTCCACAGCAAAGCAGATGTTCTGAGATACTGAAAATAACCCCAGCGTGACAGTTAATAAATAGTTCACCTTCTGAACTTACATTTCCTCACGTTCAGTTGAAAAATACACAAAGCAAGTATTACAAAATGACCAGAAAGTGAACACATATCCAGTAAGAGATGATTTTTAGCCACACCCTTCTTACTGTACAGATTTTTCACACCCCTCCATTTTGGTTGGCAGCCTCTCCCTTCCCCCCACTGCCCTCATATCACCGCATCCTCCCTCTTTAAATCTTACTATCACAGTGCCCCTCTCTCTTCTTTCTCTATTACCCACAGTCTGCCCATCCTTTCTTAAGCCACCCTCTGCCCTTATACATGGATCTCAGTTTCGAATCTCTACTTCTGGGTGTCCAGCTTAGAGTTCGTGTAGAGGCCAGACATGTAGAATGAATGTACTCTCAACCAAAGAAAAGTGAACTAAAATCACGTTGGGATCCATTCTGCATGGTTATGGCTAACACCTAAAATGTCTTGGTCCCGAGTGTTAGGTGGTACTGTTTGGGGAGACTGTGCGAGTTGTCAGCAGACAAGACAGCTAGTGTAAGGAGGTCTGGGAGAGAGCCTTTGAAGGCAACACTTGGTCCCTGATTCCTACCTAAAAAGCTTCCAGTTGGTGGCACACACCTTTAATCCGGGAGAGGCAGAGGCAAGTGGATCTCTGTGAGTTACAGGCCAGCCTGGTCTACAGAGGGAGTTCCAGGACAGCTAGGGCTACACAGAGAAATCCTGTCTGGAAAAACAAACAAAATTTTTCCCTGGTCCACTTTGCTGATAATGGCTCACCCTGTGCCTCCTGCTGCGACGGAGCTAGCTGCTTTACCATGGCTCTTTGGCCGTGCAGGACTGAAACCATCCCAAACTGCGGGCCTAAATACACCTTTAAGTTTTGTCAGCATTAAAGACATTTCTGGGTCAAAGCATATTATCAAAAAATGAAAAGATAACTGACAAAGTCGGGGGAGTTAGTTGCAAACTATGTGGTTTGAATGAGATATTTCCCATAGGTTCTAGCATTGATATAGCTGTGTTTTCCTGTGCATTTGGGCATCACTTAGACATTTCAGTCATAACTGTCTTGGCTGTGTAGGACAATCTGAATGGAGTTGCTCTTCTGGTGTGGACTCTTCTGAGCAGTGACTGGCCCCATTAATTTTTGCTCTAATTTCTTTTTGTGGTATTTTATAGTTTTCAAAATAAAAATCTCACACTTCCTCAATTTTACTATTCCATGCTACTTAAATTACATTGTTTACTGAATGAATTTTCGCTCCTGTCTGTTTCCAGCCACACACTTGGCCTGTTGTCTGCTGAATCTGTCCCTTCCTCCCAGCTGAACTCATCTGCTAGTGTGGAGAGGAGGCTTCGCTAACAGTGCTTTCAGGTTTCTGTATAAAATATGGGGAAGTTTGCAAGCAGAGAGCAGTTTCTTTCCTTTCTAATCTGGGTGGGTTCTGTTTCCTCTCCTTTCCCAGCTGCCTTCAGAACCACATCAAAAGGAGCAGAGAGGGAGGACTCCTGCCCTGGATCCTGGGAGGAGCCATTGGGCCCCTCCTCATGGAGTCTGACTTAGCTGGGCCTCCTCTGCAGATGCCCTTTGTTGGCGTGAGGAAGGCCCAGCCTATTCTGGTTTGTTGAGTAATCTTACCGTGGAGGGGGCTGCCCTTGTCACATGCACCTCCTTCCCCTGTACGGATGCTCCTGGAGATTTGCCTTCTTCCGCAAACACAGCACCTGACATCGATCTTTCTTGGTTAAATGGTCTCTGCATTTCTTAACATGAGCCCTGTGTAGCTAGGATGTATACTTTTATACATTTCTAGAGTCTGCTCTAAGTTTTGAATTTCTTAAGTCTTCTTTGGATGTCTGTTAAAATTAATGATGCTACATTTTTAATTTACTTTTAAAATTTTATATATGTGTGCTACATCTACCTTCCCTCACCATATCCCCGTGCTTCCTCCCAAACTCAGGGCCTCTTTCTAATGTATATGATATATAATTTAAAATGTATATGTATTATTCAAATATATTATTTAATATGTTATTTAATTATTTGATATATTTAATGTGAAATATTAAAAATATATTTACATTTACCCCAACAAAGGGCATCTGCAAAGAAACCACAACTAAATCATATGTGTCTGTCCTCTGTCACTTAGTCCCATCACTAGGATGCTCTGCTCAAGCATGTGGACCAAGAGCTATAGACTGAGCCATGGGAAGCTGTGAACTTAACTAAGCAATGCTTCCTCTTAAGCTGCACAGCATTGGGAGGCTTGGGAAACACAGATTGTAGGGTGCAGTCCAGGTCTTCTGGCTCCACAGAAGGTCTGGAATGAGACCTGGTGTTTGGTGATTCTGACAAATCCTCACAGGGTACTGAGATTGTGAGGTGGGGGTCACCTTTTGAGAGCATCCTGGTCCACACACCTCACAACACAATCCCAAACACCAAGATGGAGTGAGGACTGAGCAACCCATGTTTCTCACTGATCTCTAATTAAGAAGTTTGCAAATCTGTATGAACTTCTAGCACTCCAATCCCATGTCACCTT